CCTTAAAAAATATTAACAACATTATTGATTATATTCCTCGGACTGTCTTTTCTATCCCTGAGGCCATATTGTAGTTACCAATTTGTATTGTCTCGTCCCTTCCCCTTCTCCTTCATCCCCACCCCCTCCCAACTAGCAACCCTCAGTTTTTCCTCTGTGTCTCTGAGACTGTTCTTGCAGGCTGTACAAGGTGTCCTAGAGGCTAAGCAAAAAAACATAAAGGACAACCCAGAAGGAAGTGCAGCTTTCCTTTAAAGCCTTAACTTCATCAGATTCACCTAGAGAAAAAAGTTGGGCTTTGGTGACAAGAAAGGGAGAGGGGTCCTGCTCACCTGTAAGCTATTGTTCTTAGGGTTTGAGCCTGGCCAGCTTTACTCCTGAGCCCCAGTATTGCTGCTGGCTTTGGCTTGCGCATGGTGGGACGAAACTAGCCAAAAGAGATTTAATCCCCACACAGCACTTCTTGCTCTGAAAGGTTTCTCTTTACTTACAAGTACCTTAGAAATCTGCAGCAGGGCAGGCTGGCATTTTAGAGGTTGGTATACAGTCGAAAAATTCCCAAATTTGTGACATGTGGCTGACACTTGATCTGTGTTCTGCCTATACACAAAAAAAGTGACATCCAACATTTATTGGTCACGTGCAGCATTCCAGGCACCATTCTAAGTGTTTTAGGTGTATTTCCTCCTTTAATTTGTGGTAACTCCCATCAGGTAGGCACACTTTACTCTACCCATTTCATGGAGGGGAACAGAAAGGCACAGAGCTTAGTTACAACTTGCCTGAGATCACCCATGGAGAAGTGACAGAGCTGGGATTCAAATCCGGACAGTCTGGCTGGAGGACCTGCCTGCTTAGCCACTCCAGTCTCCTGCCTCTGAAACTGTGGGGAAGAGTCTGGCGATGGAAAATTGCGGGGGAAGTCAAAGGTAAGTACTTTTAAAAATTGATGCCGCCTCTCACTTTGCCTTTAATTGCAGTGTTCTGAATCACCACAGCTCCTGGTGGCTGAGCAGCCTAGACAGAATCCACAGCAACCTAAGCACAGACAGAACAGTGTTCCGGGGGCCTCTTCCAAAACCATCTGTGCGGTTGTAAGGCGTGTTCCCACTTGGGGAGGAGGAGGTATTTAGGGTCTGGAAAGTGGAAAGGGAGGGGGCAGTAATATCAACTGTCACTAACGTAGCCCTCTGAGGCTCACTGAGTTGGACGTGGACTCTTTAAGCAACACTACTGTATCTTTTGTCTCTCCACCTTCAGTATAGTGGTGACTCTAAAGGGTTTTAGAACCAGCATTGAAATCGACCAAGCTGATGAGAGCTGGAAGCAATCATCAGCTTTTGCATATTAAACTCTAATGACTATTTCAGAATCCTTGGTAGATAACCCTCAAGTCAGAAGGAAATGAAATGAAATAGGGTTGGGAGGATGGGTGTGTGTGCATGGGGACTGAAACGTTGTAGCTGGGCTCCCTTTCTGGCAAGTTTGTCTACAAATGAAAAGTTCCCAGGCCTCTGGCCCTGAATGGCCTTTATCTTAACAGAGGTTAATGGCTCAATTCCTCCCCAGAGAAAATTGCTCTAAGAAGTCATTTTCCAACTGGCAAGCTTAGAGAGAGCTGTCTTTGATAAGTCAGAATGTTTGTAAATTAGAACAAACACTGCCATTTGGCTCGTCTGTGCTTATGGTCTAATAAAGCAGTATGTTTATATACCCTTTCAGAATTCTTGCTAAACAAAAATGAACTGACTGGTGTTTTTCCAAGGCAGAGGTGAATGCGCACTCTTCACCCCCACAGTAGCTAGCTTCTTCTCAGTCCTTTGCAGGGAGCTGCTATATTATGGTTTCTGGTCTGAGTCACCACTCGCAAAGGGGGTTAAGCGAGGCAGAACTAATCTCAAATCGAGACCTGGAATTTTCACTTCTTCATTAAAATAATCAGAAACATGCTGGTAAGAACACTGTGCTTAATGTTCTAACCCTACATATCTAATAGGAGCCGAGCCTTCTCTAAGCAATCGTTTTGGCACATGTGAAATTGATGATGTATATATCTTTGGTGGGTAACCCAATCTCAGAATATTCCAGTGAGCCTTATAGATCCT